CTTTCTTTCTTTCTTTCTTTCTTTCTTTCTTTCTTTCTTTCTTTCGAGACATGGTTTGGCTTTATAGTTCAGGCTGGCCTCAAACTCCCGGCAATCTTCCTGCCTCAACCTCCTGAGTGCTGGGATTATAGGTGTGTGGCACCACATCCCAAAGTGGCATATTCAGAGATGACTTTCAACAGATTATAGGCATTCAGCAGCTACTTGAAGCAAGTGATGATCACAGATAGAAAAGGTAAAGATGAAGCCTAGATAAATGGCCATGGTTAAAATTGGGAGGCTTTAAATTCTTATTTAAATTAAATGTGTTTCAAAATGACATCTAGAGGGCTGGCCAGATAGCTCAGTGGATTAAGGCTGCTTAGGCACAGCTCAGGGGCCAGGGCACATGGAGAGGGTCACTGAGACTGGGCATGGTGGCGTGCGCCTATAATCCCAGTGCTTGGGAGGCTGCAAACAGGAGAATCACTATGAATCCGATGTGTGTAGTGAGTCCCTGTAGACCCTGTACTAAATACAAAAAAAACAAAACAAAACAAACAAACAAAAAACTAGAGACACAGTATTTGGGACTGTGAGCTTTAGGCTGATAGAAATAAATTACTAACTAAATACAGGGGGATCTAGGAGTATAAAATAGAGGAAATGTGTACAACGCAGCAGTTGCTTCCGAATGGCACAGTCGTAATGAGTGCAGAGGAAACTGTAGGTGGGCAGAAGCAAGAGTGGCCCACGCAGAGAGGAATTGATCTGCATAGGTCTTATCTCAGCCCAAATCTTATCTTGAAAGTTCTACCTGAGCAGACACAGGCTTAGGAAAAGGGCAGCGAGAGTATATCTTGGTAGACGTTTAGAACTTCATGTGTTTTATTTTGGCACACTGTGATTGCTTCAGAGATGAATTTTTTTAAAACAAGGCATCCTTAAAAGTGAAATTGCCTTCCTGAATGAAAATATGACCTGGAATGGTGAAAACCAGTAGTACTCATTTCTACTTGAGTTGGCTTATATTTAGAAGTGAGCTACCTGTACCTCCCTGCTTGTTTATTTTAAAATACAGTAGAGAGTTCCAGGCGGTCCTAATGCCCGGCGCTGTGTGAGCAGCATTGTAGTATTGTTTTTGCTCACTACTATTCTTAAGGTCTGCTGAAGGAATTTAGTGTTGTGAGGAAGAATGCAGGGCTGAAGATGTAAAAGCTAAAAGAGGGTTTATTGTCCCAACACAGCTGTAGATGCAGAATGCTGTGTTTAATAGGGAGGGGCTGCATGTTCTGGCATTTAAAAAGGTGAGGTTTTTATTTAGTTCCCTGTTCAATGTGTATGTGAAAATTTTTCCAGCCCCTGCCAAACCATGGTAAGAGGTTTTTACAGCAATAAGATTAAAATAGAAGTTGGCACCTGTATTTTTTTCTGTAGTTCAAGACTGGTTCCACATCAATGAAGACAGTTGTCGAAAAAAAAAAAAAAAGGAAAAGGTGAGACAAGAAGTAGGAACCTGTTCTTTTTGAAGATCAAAAAACCCCCTCCAAACCCAGATCTTAGTTGCCATAGCCTCTACAGTTTCACTTAACTAAGGTTTTACATCTCGTCTCTCCACTGCCAGGTCATATTCCAGTTTTTCCCAATGTAGTATTAAGTCTGACTTGGTTGACACTAATTAAAAGTTCATGAAATTTGTTACAAGATAATTTTAAGCAAAATTAGGGCAAATGGGGAATTCGGTAACAGAGAATAACAAACACAGGACTGAAGGTATAGTTTCAAAATTAGGCTGGTAATGCTGCTATAAGGCATCAAGTTTTGGTAATATTTTTAAATGAAAAATGATCCCTGTTACCATATGGCAAAATACAGTGAAAATCTGAACTGTTAGACCAACACAGCTGTTAAAGGCATAAATGTGGTTCTGTTTTTAAAATGTTTTCTACTATAGCTATTATGCAGCATTGCTAATAATCTCGGGCTATTAATCTGCAGTAACTGCAAGTTGTGGTGAGCATTGCAGATGTACGCAATTTGATCTCTGTGGTGATTTACCTAGGAGAAAAATGAGTAAACTGTAGTTCTCAACTTAAGGTCTGCAGAGCAGATTGGATAATAGACATTCACATGATTAGGGAGCATATGCTCAAATGACTTGATTTATCTTTTTAGAAGAAGTTATGTTCAATAAAAAGGGGTGGCTCTCATATATGTAAGCCTTACATATGACAAACTATGCATATAATATATAGATTACAAATACATGTGGGATTTCAGGAAAATAGTATTAGAAACATCAGAATAACATCAACTTAACTTTTTATCTTTCAGCAAAATGAGCACAAAATAATAATTTTCTATTTTCCATTGATTTACAGCTACCAGAGACAAATCTGTGAATGTTTTTTCCTTAACATTTCAAATGCGTGTTTATTTTTAGGCTTTATGTAAGAAAATCAAGAAAATCCTTAATTTATAGAAAACACTAATCAGTAGCTGTAGGAAAAGTATCGTAATTAGCCAAGTTTTCAGTCTGGCTTCCTTAGGCTATATGTGAAGTCCGAACGTACTCTTTCAGTCTCGATTGTCACTTCCAAATGGTCAGTACTTTTGCTACCTTAATACACATGTGCTGGAAAGTGCTACTATTAGACTGCTTAGGTGATTTGACAACTAACTCTGCACTCATCATAACCTCATTCTTCTTTTAAGGTTCTCCACTTTTGTTTTTAACTCTGAAGAGATTGTGAAGTGCCACGTGATTTCTCTATTTCGTGTGTCTATGTCTCATTCCTTCA